GTCATCCCAGCCATCACAGGAAGCACAAATAGCCTGACGGCCTTCCCGCCGGCCCAGGACAGCCTAACCCCGAACAGCCAGTGCAGAGGGCTGGAGGTGGTGGAGCCCCTGCCCATCAAGTCTGAGGCCCTGGGTTCCAGCCCCGGGGCCGCCCCTCTGGGAGTGGAGCGCAGGGCACACACCAGGCCCTGGCCACCGTCCCCAGAGAGAACTACACAAAAAGATTGTTCCAGAACGTGCCTCCGCCTCAGAAGCAGGCCCATCCTCATGGGCAGCCGCCCTTCGTCACTGGCACCGCCCGCCAGCCCTGATGTCCTCGGGTGGCCCTGGCGCGGGGCCCAGTGCAGCGCCGGGGGCGGGGCCGGGCGGGGCGTGGTCATGACGGGGCGGGGCCTGCTGACCCCGCCTTCCCTCCCGCAGGCCGCAGGGCAAGTCCTACCTGTACTTCACCCAGTTCCAGGCCGAGGTGCGCGGCGCAGAGATCGAGTACGCCATGGCCTACGTGAGTGCGGGGGGTGGGGAGCGGGGACCCTGCGTTCCCCCCGCTGAGCCCCGGGAGGGGCGCAGAGCCGCATGTGGCCTCCAGCGACGGCTCCCCACCGTTCTTGCAGTCGAAAGCGGCATTTGAGCGGGAGAACGATGTCCCCCTGAAAAGTGAGGAGTTCCAGGTGACCAGGACGGCAGGTGGGTGACGATCGGGTCGGGGGTGCGCTCGCTCTCTCCCTCCTCCTCTCTCTCTTTTGATGCCAGTCCTGGGGCTTGAACTCAGGGCCTGGACACTGTCCCTGAGCTCGTTTTTGCCCAAGGCTAGCGCTCTACTGCTTGAGCCACAACTCCCATTTCCGGCTTTTTTTTTTTTTTTTTTTGGAGATAAGTGTCTCAGGGACTTCCCTGCTCCCGAATGTAACTCTATCCAAAACGATGACTAAAGCAGAGAAGAAGCTGGCAGCGTGGTCCAAGTGGTAGAGCATCTGCTTCCCACACACCAAGCCCCAGGTCCCAACCCAAAGGAGGAAAAAAAAAGGGCCACTGGCTCACCCTGACCCTGCGTGGCTCCCACGCGGCCCCCCTGCCTCTTGGTCTCCCATTCCCCACTGTGCTTCCTCCCCATCCCAGCCCCCAACCCCGGTGGCTCCCAGACCTGGCCTGACCTTGTGCTGTCCCCCCTCTCCAGTGGCTCACAGGCCTGGAGCCTTCAAAGCTGAGCTGTCCAAGCTGGTGATCGTCGCCAAGGCCACCCACAGCGAGCTGTGACTGGCACCCACAGGGCGGCCTTGCCCCCTCCCCACCGAAGAGCCCCGGCCCACAGGGTGCTGGCGACCCACTGCTGTCTGGGGCCATGCACAAGGCACAGATCGGTGTTTCCACGGAGCCCCGCCCTCCTGGCCTGGCTCAACTCCACAGGATCACAGCCCGCCTGGCTCCCGTGACCCAGACGCCTCCCAGCGGAGCGTGGAGCGTTTCCTCGCATGCACGGTCAGCTGGCCCTGGACAGCACCCTTGAACCCTCAGTGGAGGGCCTGGGACCTCCTTTCAGACCAGCCTCGAAGACAGAATGTTTTGATATTTAAATAAATGGAAAGCCGGGTGCCAGGGGGCTCACGCCTGTCATCCTAGCTACTCAGGAGGCTGAGATCTGAGGATTGGGGTTCAAAGCCAGCCCGGGCACAAAAGTCCAGGAGACTTATCTCTAGTAAACCACCAGAAAACTGGAAGTGGTGCTGTGGCTCAAGTGGTAGAGCGCTCACCTTGAGCTGAAGAGCTGAGGGACAGCGCCCAGGCCCAGAGTTAAAAACCCATGACCGACAAATATAAATAAACAAATGGAAAGCCAGAGCACCACCCTGCGCTCCTAGGGTGTTTGGGGGTGGGGGAGGGCTGAGGATGACAGCCCCTCCCCTGGGCTGGGGGCTGGCCAGCCAGCCTGCTGTCCCTACCGTGGTTGGTTGTTACGTTGGGTAGCACAAGGTGTCTTTGGAAAACCACACAGTTGGGAAGCGTGAACTGTAAGGACAATGGCTGTTGAGCCGGTGCAGAGCTTGATCCAGCCTGACCTGCAGCCCACAGCCTGGTGACCACAGCATCCATGGGCCATCCTTCCCGCCGCCCCTCGGTCCCTCCACAGGCAGCCACCAGCTCGCTTTCCAGACCAGCCTCAGTGGGTCCTGGGGGCCCAGAAGTTTTCCCACCAGGGACTAGAGGGGACACCGGTCCTGCAGGCGCTCAGGGCCGAACCAGTTGTTCCACACCCCGCCTAGACCGGCCGGCTTTGGAGTCCCAGCACCACAGCCTCTGGTGTCTAGAGCCACCCCAGTGCTGGTCCCTGAGGCTCCACGGGGTCCCAGAGATGAGCTTGGGGACAGGCCCAGAGCCCCAGGGGGTGCTCACCACAGAGACATACCCAAGCAACTGAGCCAGCGCAATCTCTGCCACTCTGTCATTCTACCAAGTCGTCGCCCGGCAGAGACTGAGCTGGTCACCCAGCCACACGGTGACTCAAGCATGGTTCTTTACGTAAAGGCACAGTCAGGTGCCACGGTTCACACCTGTAACCCCGGCACTCGGGAGGCTGAGGTAAGGACATTGAGAATCCCAGGCCAGCCCGTGCCACACGGTGAGACCCTGTTGCCTCTGATCCTAGCCAGTCAAGAGGCCGAGATCTGAGAATCAAGGTTCAAAGTCAGCCTAGACAGGAAAGTCTGTGAGACTTATCTCAAGGAACCACCAAAAAGCCGGAAATGGAGCTGTGGTTCCAGTGGTAGAGCACTAGCCTTGAGTGCAAAAGCTCAGTAAGTGTCCGGGCCCTGAGTTCAAGCCCCAGGACTGGCACTAAACTACTTAATGCAATGCAAGTGCTCTGGAGGGTGAGGGCGTCAGCTGTAGGCCCTGCGATTTCTCAGTGCAGGGGACACAGAATGGTCCCAGAATGCCTTGCAGAGCTCCTTTTGTTCTAACTGAATGTCAGGTTTATTTATTTAGGTTCTTTGGTGGTGGTGGTTGTGGGGCTTGAACCCTGGGCCTGGACACTGTCCTTCAGCTCTTCAGCTCAGGGCCGGTACTCTACCACTTAAGCCACAGCACCACTTCTGTTTTCTGGTGTTCTTTGGAGATAAGAGTCTCATGGATGGGCTGGGAAGGTGGCTCAGTGGTAGAGCACTTGCCTTGCATAAATGAGGCCCTGGGTTTGATTCCTCAGCACCACATAAGTAAAAAGAAAAAAGCCAGAAGTGGCTCTGTGAGCACTAGCCTTGAGCTGAAGAGCTGAGGGACAGCAGAGTTCAGGCCCCACGACCGGACCCCCCCCCCAAAAAAAAAAAAAGTCTCATGGAGTTTCCTGCCCGGGTTGGCTTTGAACTGCAGTCCTCAGATCTCAGCCTCTTGAGTAGCTAGGATTACAGGCGTGAGCCACCAGTGCCCAGTTTATTTGGTTTTATTTTAGTCTTTTGCTAGACCTTGGGCTTGAACTCAGGGCCTGGGCACTGTCCCTGAGCTCCTTTTGCTCAAGGCTAGTGCTCTACCACTTGAACCATAGCGCCACTTCTGACTTTTTCTCTGATTCATTGGAAATAGAATCTTAAGGACATTCCTGCCTGGGCTGCCTTTGAACCATGATCCTCAGATCTCAGCCTCCTGAGCAGCTAAGATTACAGGCGGGAGCCACCAGCCCCTGGCTTTCAGAGTTATTAAGAAAGGAAAAGTTATGATTGACTAGGGATCAGAGAGTTCTAGCCCAGCTCAGCCACGGCTTGGGATGGGGGGGGACATGGGGACCCTGGGGGACACTTTTCCTCCAGAGCTTAAGTTGGAAGAACAGTAGAGGCAGGAGCAGAGGACAGACACTGGGGCCGGCCTGCCAGCAGCTCCTCCGAGGCCCACCAGGGGGCAGCACAGGCTGGGCAGCCCCAGCCCACTCAGTGCCATTTCCACAGGCTTAGTGTTGGCAGTTCCTCAAACTTGCAAGAAGACAGCCAAATCCGCTCAGTCGGCCTCCCGTTAGTGACCTTTGCCCTAAGTAGACTGCACCCCAAATAACCCTCCTGACCTGCAGCGTGGCTGAGCGGCATGCCCTAATGGCATCTGTGCCCTTGGTCCTGAACCAGGGGAGGGGGGGGGGAACACGCGTTGGGTGTCTTCCTGGGTTTTTTACACATGCTCTTTTTGCTCAAGGCTAGTGCTCTACCACTTGAGCCACAGCTCTATTTCCAGCTTTTTTGCGGGGGGGGGGGGAGGTTTATTGGGGGTAAGAGTCTCATGGGCTTTCCTGCAAGGGCTGGCTTTGAACTGTGGTCCTCAGATCTCAGCCTGCTGGGCAGCTAGGATGACAGGTGTGAGCCACCAAATGCCTGGCTTGGGTGTCTTTTTTTTTTTTTTTTGGCTGGTCATGGGGCTTGAACTCTGGGCCTGGGCGCTGTCCCTCAGCTCTTCAGCTCAAGGCCGGCGTTCTACCACTTGAGCCACAGCGCCACTTCCAGCTTTTTCTGCTTATATGGTGCTGAGGAATCGAACCCAGGGCTTCATGCATGCGAGACAAGCGCTCTACCACTGAGCCGCCTTCCCAGCCCCTCCCAAAGCAATCATTGTGGGTTTGGGTGGGCTTTCTTTCCTTGTGCAGAGCCTGCACTTCCCACTTGTTAGGCAGCTGCTCCCCCTCGGACCCCTGCAGCCCGGCCCATCTGTCATAAAAACAGCATGTGTGAGCCAGGTGCCGTGGCTCAAACCTGCAATTCCAGATACCCAGGAGGGAGACATTGGCAGGATCGTAATCCTAGGCCAACCTCACTAAAAAGCTAGTGAGCCTCATTTCAGCCAGCACGCTGGGCGTGGCGGCACGGGCCTGTGCTCTGTTATGTGGAGGTTCTAGGTGGGAAGATCAACGTCCAGCCCTGGGCAGAAACTGGAAAATAAAACTAGAGGGGCTGGGGTGCACGACTCAGACCATAGTGCGTCTGCTTAACAAACCCAAACCCAACACGGCCAAGAAGAACTTTTTCCCCCCAAAGGTGCCGTTATAATTCCAGGGACGCACACACCTCAGGAGGCTGAGGCCTCTCCTGTCACTGGCACCGTGGGTGACCGTGGCGGAGCCCACCACCACCCCGAGTCCCAACTTCCCATTTCCAGGCAAGTCGGGGAACCCTCGCCAACAGGCCGCACCCCTCCCCCAGTGTCCCACGGGGCTCATTCAGCCATTCCCTGAGGTCGGGGTGGGGACAGAGCCCCCACAAAGTGAAGGCCTCAGAACATCAGGCTGACTCTAGCTCCAGGCTGGAGGCTGAGGCTGAGGCTGGAGGTGGAGGCCGGGTCTTCCTCAGTCTCTCCTCGTGGAGGCCAGTCTCTCAGTGCGCATGTGTGCGTCCAACATTCCCCTGGCGTAAAGACTCAGGTCAAGGCTGGATCGGGGGGCCCAACAGCGGGTGGGGTGGCCAGGCCTGTGACTCCGGCCCTTGCTTGGGGTGGGGGGATATACTGACCTCCATCTGGGCCAGCCTGGGCTCTCTAGCATGTATCTCTGGCTCAAAGATGGGTCAGAGAGGGTTGGGAGGGGAAGGTGCTGGGTGCTGAGTCGAGGTGCTGGGTGCTGAGTCGCAGGCCGGGAGGACAGGGGGCCGGGGGGCGGAGTTCAGATGCTGTCAGTGTCCAGCATGCGGCCCAGCCCATCACAGATGCGCTGCAGGTGGGAGCAGTAGGGCTCGGCCGGCCCATACAGCGCCGCCAGGAAGTCCCCGTTGGCAAAGTGGCCAAACACGTGGTTGATGCGGCCGTGGGACTTGGCGGTGAGGTGGGGCCCGGTGGCCTGGTGCAAGAGGTCTCGGCACTCCAGCAGCCCGGCGGCCAGCACGCGGCGATCGAAGGTGAAGGCCACCTGCTGGAAGCTGACCGCCGTCATGGCCAGGCTGCGCGCGCGCCGCCGGAAGTGGCCCAGCTGGGCCAACTGGTCCGCGCCCAGCTGCCCGGCCCGCAGCACCACCGCCACCTTCACCGCCACCTTCACCAGGTCCTTCAGCACCCGCTGCGCCTCCTTGCGGCTGCGCGTGAACTCCTTGGTGGCCCGGTACAGCTCGTCCAGCACCTGCGTGCTCGTGTCGTCCGCAAACACGGCCACCATGGCCTTGGAGGACATCTTGCTCAGGACCTTCTTCTGCGCCTTCAGGGCCAGGCTCTGCGTGCTGAACGTGTCCATGGCGGCCTGCGGACAGACGGATGGACGGACAGATGGGGCTGATGTCTGAGGAATGAACGGGGAAGTGTGTAGGGCCTCTGCCTGCCCACCCCACACCCACGGAATCCTGGCTGAGTGGACCGGGTTCCTGTCCCTCCGTGAGTCTAGCCTGCTGTTCCTGCCCCCCAACCCCACCCCTAGTCCGAGCCCACAGCTCCTGAGGTCTAGGCCCTGGACGGTGGCTGGGATGGGGGGGAGGTAATTATGGTGACTTGTGTCCCAGCCTCCCGGCCCCTAAAGGGATCCACAAGACTCTCCTGAGAGCTGGGCGCTGGTGGCTCACGCCTGTCAACCCAGCTACTCAGGAGGCTGAGATCTGAGGATCTCCAGTCGAGGCCAGCCTGGGCAAGAAAGTCCATGAGATTCCTATCTCCCATGAACCACCAGAAAACCGGAAGTGGCGCTGTGGCTCAAGTGGTAGAGCACTAGCCTTGAGCTGAAGAGCTGAGGGACAGCGCCCAGGCCCAGAGTTCAAGCCCCATGACTGACCCAAGAAAAGCTGGAAGTGGAGCTGTGGTTCAAGTGGTAGAACACCCGCCTTGAGCAACAAAAACTCAGAGACAGCACCAAGGCCCTGAGTTTGAGACACAGGACCAGCACAAAATAATAAGGCCCAGTAGGGCAGGGGTAGGGAGACATTACAGCCCACTCAGACCCCAGCCCAGGCAGCCAGAACAGCAGGGCCTTGTGGGACCCTCACCCCAGGAGCCCCACAAAAAGCCCATCTGTGTGCAAGTGAGGCCTAGGGAGGAGCCCCAGCCCCCCTCCCACCTGCCCTCAGAAATCAGGATGAAGTGGATGGGCTTCCCTGCCACCACCTATCTACTGGACCCTGCTGTCCACAGGCAGAGACACGCCAGTTCCTCCACAACCCAAGAGCGCAGAGAGGCTCAGCCACTTCCCCAAGGCCACACAGCAATACACTGCTGGTCTCCTTGGTGCTTCTGAGGGGCCTTGAGCCTCTGGGTGGGGAGATGGGGGAGCCGCACACTCTTCCCTGTGACAAGAAAACCAAGCTCACTCTTGAGGGCCCGCTACCAGCCCTGCCTCAGTTTTCCCCAGCTGTGAAATAGGAACAGACAACTCAGTTCTGGGGCAGAAGGCCATGACAACTTCAGTATCCTCCACATGACAACTTCAGGATGGCCCCCTGGCACTCCCCTTTCGATGCCATCCTGCCCGTTTCTAGAATATTCTAGAACATTCTCCTCCGCCCAGTTGAATGCCTGAGAGCCCATGTGCAGCCCTGGAGGAACCCAGAGAGATCCCCACCCCACCCCACCCCACAGGCCTTGGGCCCAGCCTCCCGGATTACAGATGAGCCAGGAAGGGAAGATAGCTGTGCATCTCAGAGGCTGTGTGTCCTTGGGCAGAGCTCTGTGCCTCTCTGGGCTGGGACACTGCACACGTTGGTTCAGAAAAGAGTGGGCCTGTTGACAGACTTTGGAGATGCCGCAGGAAAGGGGAGGGGGGTGGGCAGCGTGGCCTCCTCGCTCCCAGCCCAGAGGCCTGGCCACACCTGGGGTGGCCAGCTGCCTGGCTCCCCTTCCCTTCCTATCCTGGGGCCCATTGTTCTGCCAGAAACTTCCCCCAGGGACCAGGCCTGGACCAAAATAAACCCCAGCCTTCCTTCCTGCTGGGAGGCACTACAGACACTCAGATCCCTGCTCCCTGCCCGCCGGGGGGACCCAGGCCCACACCGACCCAGACAAGTCAGTCAACAAGCAGTTCTAGAGCACCAGCTGTATACCAGGCGCCCGGGGTCACCGCGATGCCCACAGAGACAGGCCCCTGACCTCTCAGAGCCGCAGGCCGTAGCGCCACGCTGGCCTGGGGCAGCCGTGCGCTGGTCTGCATCATCCCCGCCCCCAAACCAGAACCAAACAAGCCGGCGCCGGTGGCTCCCGCCTGTCACCCCAGCTACGCAGGAGGCTGAAATAGGAGGATCGCGGTTCAAAGCCAGCCCGGGCAGGAAGGTCCTTATCTCCAATGAACCACCAGAACACCAGAAGTGGCGCTGTGGCTCAAGTGGTAGAGCGCTCGCCTTGAGGGAAAAAGCTCAGGACAGCGCCCAGGCCCTGAGTTCAAGCCCCACCACCAACCCAGGGGAAAAAAAACAACACAAAAACACAACCAGATGAAGGGACGGCCAGGCCTGATCACCACACAGCCAGAGCACGGCAGTGACACACTCGACAGCCAGGGGGGGGGGGGGGGGGGGGGCGGCGGCGCTCAGGCAGCAGCTGCCAGGAACCACTCGGAACAGATGGAACCAGTCAGGAAGTGGGAAGTGGACTGGTCAGGCGCTGGGAGGGGCGGGAGGCTGCTCACGGGGACTGCTAAGGTGGATGGAAAGTTCTGGAAGTACATCACAATGTGTGAATCACACCGGGGTGTGCGCCGCGAAACAGTGGATTTTTAAATGTTCATGGGGGGGGCTGGTTTGAACCTCAGGGCCTGGGGGGGCGCCGTCTCTGAGCTGCTTTTGCTCAAGGATGGTGCTCTACCACTTGAGCCACAGCTCCACTTCCAGCTGTGTGTGTGTGTGTGTGATTAATTAGAGAGAGGAGTTTCACAGACATCTCTGCCCAGGCTGGCTTCGAACCTCCATCCTCAGATCTCAGCTCCCGGAGGAGTTGGGGTTACAGGCGTGCGCACCGGCACCCAGCTGTAATAGTGAATTTCATAGTCTGTGAGTTGTACCTCTAGCTGAGCATTCCCAACCTAGGCCTCTCTTCCTCTATAGTTCATAACTCACTGAAAGGATGGGAAGGAGATCTGAGGAATTAAAAGTATCAGGATTTGGGCTGGGCGCCGGTGGCTCCCGCCTGTCATCCAGCCGCGGGGAAGGTCAAAGCCAAGGCAGGGGAGGTCAGAAAGGCCTCTCTGCAGAGTAAACTGGGGTTATGAGTTGCAGGGGAGAGGGAGGCCAGCCTGTGCAAAGGTCCTGAGGCAGGGACACGTCAGGTATGTAGGAGACTGTAGCCCCTTCCATCCACCGGCCTGAGATCTCCCCACCCTGACCCCAGAGCCGCCCCAAGCCCCAGGGCACAGCTTTTCCATCGCTAAAATCGACATCCAGCCAGCGCCGACGGGGCTCTGCCCACCCCAGCCCTGCCCCCACCCCCACATTCTATCTTAGGTCTGAGCCATGGGGCTGCCCTCGGAACCCTCTGCCCTCTGCCAAACCCCACTTCATCATTTGCACTCTGAACTCTGCCCCTACCCCCCGCCCCCCCCCTCCCCCCGCCCTGTTGGATACTCTCAACAAAACCGGCCATGAACGGATCCTGACTCGCACAAGGCCAAGGTCGGAGGCCGGGCTGTCTATCTGGGCCTCCCCTGAGTCAGGGAGCGCGGGGGGCGGGGGGGGGGCCCTGTGAGGGAGCCCTGCTTGCACCTGCTTCTCTAAAATACCTCCCAGGTCCCTGAGTCACCCAAGCCTCCCTTCCCCTGCCTCCCTGTCCAGCCCCAGGAGCCTCCTGGCTGGTTTTGTAATACAGTCGGCCTCAGGGCCTTTGAATGCCTTTGTCTGAGCCTGTGTGCCTGCCCGGGCCCTCTGGACCTTTGTCCTGTTTGGTGGTGGCCCCAGCCTCTCCACTAAACCATTTGTTAGACAAACATGAGGAAACGAGACCATCATCCTGCCGGGGGCTGTGGGACACCAGGCCAGGCCAGACACACAGCTGGCGCTCAGTAAGTACCGCGTGGCTGAATGCTACCTGGGGGGGGGGGGGGGTGGGCGGGGAGCGGATTCTGGCCCAGCCTCAGTGGCTCACACCTGCCATCCTCACTACTCAGGAGGCTGAGATCTGGGGATCTCAGTTTGAAGTCAGCCCATATAGGAAAGACCCTGAGACGCCTCTCCAATGAACCACAAAAAGCCGGAAGTGGTGCTGTGGCCCAAGTGGTAGAGCACCAGCCTTGAGCAAAAGAAGCTCAGGGACAGCACCCAGGTGCCCTGAGTTCAAGCCCCAGGACTGTCATGTATGCACAAAGTCTGGCCAGGTGTAATCTCAGCTTGTGGGCAGTGCAGGGGGAGGGAAGATTGGAAATAAAGTCTGGTGCTCTAATACTTGAGCCACGCCTCTAGTACAGCTTTTTATTTGTGAGTTATCTGGAGGTGATAGTCTTGCAGACTTTCCTGCCCGGGCTGGCCTCAAACCTGGATCCTCTGAATCTCAGCCTCCGCTGAGCAGCTAGGATGACAGGCAGGAGTGGTCCACCTCCCAGTTCTGTAGCTTCATTTTGTCTTATTTATTTATTTGTGTTTCAGGACTGGGGATGGATGGAGCCCAGGATGTCATCATCCTCCCTGCACAAGCACTGAGATATTTATTTTCTGGTCGGTCGTGGAGCCCGAACTCTGGGCCTGGGCGCTGTCCCTCAGCTCTTCAGCTCAAGGCGAGCGCTCTACCACTTGAGCCACAGCGCCACTTCCGGCTTTTTATTCTTTGCTTATGTGGTGCTGAGGAATCGAACCCAGGGCCTCATGCATGCAAGGCAAGCGCTCTACCACTGAGCCACCTTCCCAGCCCGGGCTCCCCCCTTTTATTTACACATAAGCCCCCTCACGGGTGCACCCTGAGGTGCATGCGCGGTCACTTCTCCTAGCGGTTTTGTGGGAGGGACCCGATGGCAAAATTCCCAAAAACACAGCCGGGTCTCTCGTGAGCTGGCTCCGGCCCATGAATTCTTCATGTCCCACACGAAGAGCATCAATAATTGATGGCCAGAGCCCGGGGCTCCCTGGCTGGGCGCACAGCCCGGCCCCGTGGTGTCCCAACGCGGCCTCCGCCTCTGCCCCACATCCTTGCGGAGCCCTGGGGGGGGGGACACACACACAATGCCACCACAGTACCGCCCCCCCACCGCAGGCTCCTGCTGCACCCACTCTCTCCCCTCCACTGCGCAGGCCCGGCCAGCTGGTGCTGCTGGCTCCCGGACAAAGGGGGAAGAGGCACCGAGGGTTCTCGAACAGGGTTCATCAGAGCCCTCACCCCAAAATGGCAGGGGGGGGGGCCCTAGCCACCTGGAGGGGTGCACATGGAGCCACTCCATTGGCTCACGTCTGTCATCCCAGCAACTCAGGAAGCTGAGATCTGAGGATCCCAGTTCAAAGCCAGCTAGAGAAGGAAAAGGGCCTAAGACTCTGATCTCCAAGGAACCCAGCAAAAAAAGCCAAAGTGGAGTTGTGGCCCAAGTGGTAGAGAGCCAGCCTTGAGTTAAAAATAATAATAAAAGCCGGGCGCTGGTGGCTCACGCCTGTAATCCTAGCTACTCAGGAGGCTGAGATCTGAGGATCACGGTTCAAAGCCAGCCCGGGCAGGAAAGTCCACGAGACCCTTATCTCCAATAAACCACCAGAAAACCGGAAGTGGCGCTGTAGCTCAAGTGGTAGAGCGCTCGCCTTGAGCTGAAGAGCTGAGGGACAGCGCCCAGGCCCAGAGTTCAAGCCCCAGCCTTGGAAGAAAATGGAAGGTGGGTGGGAGCCCCAGGCCCTGTGGGCCGCAGCACCCCAGTGCCCTTGGACCAGCTTGACTTCCTGCAGGTGCCCATTACTCAATGAATAAACCAGCAGCCAGCGCCAGGACAGGATGTCAGAGACCTCAGCCACGGTCCAAGGTCCCGCCGTGGAGGCTGAGTCGCACACACGGATGTGCCAAGGCCCACGCCAGCCCCCACCCTGCGTGGAGGGGCTTGTTCCCAGCAGCTCCCAGCTCTGGCCCTTCCCAGAACACAGAGACACAAGGGAAGCTGATGGCCAGGTTCAGCAGCTTCACCTCCATAGCCTCAGGACCTGATTCTCTTCGCAGACATGCAAAACGGGCTGTTGTTACTGAGGGGGAAACTGAGTCAGGGTCCATACACAGCCTTGAGTTTTGGTTTTGGTTTTGGTTTTGCCAGTCCTGAAGCTTGAACTCAGGGCCTGGGCACTGTCCCTGAGCTTCTTTTGCTCAAGGCTGGCGCTCTACCACTTGAGCCACAGCGCCACATCTGGCTTTTTCTGTATTTTTGTTTTTTGTTCTTTGTTTTTTTGTTGGTCATGGGGCTTGAACTCTGGGCCTGGGCGCTGTCCCTGAGCTCTTCAGCTCAAGGCGAGTGCTCTACCACTTGAGCCACAGCACCACTTCCAGTTTTCTAGTGGTTTATTGGAGATAAGAGTCTCATGCCCTTTCCTGCTCCGGCTGGCTTTGAACCATGATCCTCAGATCTCAGCCTCCTGAGTAGCTAGGATGACAAGCGTGAGCCACCAGCACCCGGCTGGCTTTTTCTATGTGTGTGGTGCTGAAGAATTGAACCCAGGGCTTCATGCGTGCTAGGCAAGCACTCTACCTCTAAGCCATCTTCCCAGCCCCAAGCCTAGAGATTTGGAACCAGCCCTTATTCCAGAGTTCTCTTTCCCCTCCTTGCAAGTTTGGGGTTCAAATCTCCCCTTCCCCATAGGCTACCCTGCAGGGAAGATGCCTGAGGAGCCCTTTTTGGGACCAAGGCCCCCCAACCACAAACTCTTCAAGGTTAGAGACACACAGAAGCCCCCAACCAGGTTCTTTCCCAGCCCTTCCTTAGGGGACCTCAGCAAGGGAACCTGAGGTCTGGGGGCAGGGGAGGCTCTGCCCTCTCCCCGGCCTCCATCAGCACCCAGGACTCCACCTGGGCTCCATCTCCGGGTAGTGCCGTTTCCATGACAACATCTGGAGGTGTGATCCGCCTCCCCCCCCTCGCTGGGATCTTGTGGATCCATTTCCCAGACAAAGCCCCCCCCCTCCCCATATTCAACGTCCCTGAGGCTCAGGGCTACTCAAGGCCACAACAAGCCGTGGAGTCCCCCCCCCCCCACCTCCTTGGGGGTGCAGCCCTCATCCACCACCAGGGGCTCCAGCCTCTCAACAGCCCTGGCCAGAGGAGCTCCTCCAGGTAGGCCCGCCCGATCTCTTTGTCCCTGGTTTCCATAGGTACCGCGTCCCCCTGGCATTGTCCCCAGCCCGGTCCCTCCCACCTCTGGGCCCCTCCCAGCAGCCAGGCCTAAGCGGGCACTTCCTGGGCCCGGGCCCAGCAAGTCAACTTGTTATGTTTTAAAGTTGGCGCCTGTGTGAACCTGCCTGCTGGTCTCAGGCAAAGGCCCTGAGGCTGCACCAGGCCTCGGGAGTGGATGGAGAGGTGCCTCATGCAGGGACCATCCTCCCAGGGTCTCCCTCAAACCCAAGCAGTCATGGGCCCCCTTACCCCATTTCACACATGGGGGAAATCGAGGCCCACAAGAAAGGAGTTGTTGTATAAAGTGCCACCACAGCTCCAGGGCCAGGTTTGTCTCCCATGTTGTCACTGCCCCCAACAGAGCTCAGGAAGTGACCTGGGAGTCCGGTTTATAGCTGTGTCCCCTCCTCCCTCGTTCCCCCCCTTCCCCTCTTCCTCTTTCCACCCTCACCACCACCCCCCTCCCCAGATGTAGAATCCAGAAGGTCAGCAGATTCCCCACCCTGCCTCTGTCTACATCTCCTTGGCCAAACCGCTGGCCTCTTGGCTGGCTCAGTTCACCCTTCCTGGGAAATGGGGCCAGTGACGGACCCAACTGAGGCCAGGAGGGGACAGCCCTGGGGCTGGGGCTACCTACCAATTACCTTGGCGGTGCCAGTCCCATCCATCGCTGGTAAAACTGAGGCCTCGGGGAGCGGGCTGGGGACCCTCTGGGTCCTACTCAGCCATATTCTTGGCTCCCAATACCTAAAATTTGGCCCAGCCTCAAGCCACCTGCCCTATGAAAGGGGCAGAGTCCATGAGAGTTCTCCCAGACGGTGGGCAGTGGTCCCAGGGCAGGGCTCCAAGCCAGTGCAGGTGGGCAGTCCACACCCAATCTTTCTTCCTTCAACCCCCACGACCAGTGACAGACCGGGAAACTGAGGCAGGAGCATAGGCAGGCAATGGGAAGGGGCTCAGGGAGGGGCCCAAGGGGGGGGTGAGGGCCACAAGAAGCCAGGTGGGATCCATCTCTCTCTCTCACCTGCTCCTGGGGGTCCGTCCGGGCGTCTGACCGTCGTGGATCCGTCCAGCTGTCTGCTAGGGGTCCGGGGCTTGTGCAGGAGCAACGAGACCGACGCCCGGGGCAGGGACACTGGGCGGGGCGGCCGGCGAGTCCCCGCCCCTCGTAACCACGCCCATTCGAAACCACACCCACCGGCTCCAAAGTCTAGGAGGGAGGGCGGGCCCATCGCACGGAAGTAGCCAATGGCTGCGCGGGCGCTGTACGAAGCTGCCAATGGCGTGGCGGGGGCGGGGCTGAGGGCGGGCCTCGGGACAGGGCAGGGCGGCCGGCGGGGGATTCCTCCGGAATTGTGGACTGACCGGATGCGGGGGCGCGGCGAGGCGAGGGGCGCAGGCCGGGGAAGCCAGAGGAAGGAGATACCGAAAAAGAACAGGGCCGGGGAAGGCAGACCTGGCCGAAAGAGACCCGCGAGCCCAAAGGAAGCAAGCCACCTCCTGGGACTCAGTTTACCGGCTGGGTGGAAGGAGTTTGTCCCGAGGGCCTTGGGGACAGCTCTGGTCAGCTCCACCGGGAGCCCCGGGACGAGGACAGGGGCTGAGCCTCACCCAGGGTTTGGGGGGTTGGAGATGAATCTTTGGGGAGCTGTTTCGGGCAGGTCGTGCTGGGCTTAGAGACAAGGCCAAGGACTCCCCCATTCCCGCTTCGATCTCCGTGGGAATAGGGGGTCAGGCAGGGGCAGCAGGTGGACGGGGCGCGGGGCCAGCTGGTCCCCCCCCCCCAGCGGAAACAGCTGTGCGTCCTGGGAACTGGGCTTGGGGTTGGCTCCCAGCTCCCCTGAGCTCTGTATCCGCCTGCTGTCCAGCCTGGCCTGGGGGGTGGGAGGGATACCGACTCAGAGAGGGCCCTGGGTGGGAGGGACACACAGCGCCAGGCTGTCCCCTCCAGAGACGTCCAGGCAGACCCTGGCCCGGACCTTACGTGGCAAGAATCAATATGAGGACCCCAATGTGGAGGGAGGCCCAGAGACGGGGACTCACCCCAGGCCATGCAGGCCCAAGTGGCAGAGCCAGGATTGCAGCTAGGGGGTGGTCGGGGGGTTCACCCTCAGCCTCTCCCTCTGGACAGCCTGGTCCCCGAGTCCCCTGCGCCTTTTAGGTTTGGGGGCGCCGATTCCCCGGGCGCCCGGCAGGGGGCGCGCGCTGCGCACGGCGCGGGCGCTCTGGGAAAGGATCCGCGACGGGCGGGGTCCTCAGGCCGACCTGCCAGCGAGCCCGCACCCCGAGACTGGGCTTTGCACCCCCACAACGCCGTGATCCCGAGAGAGCCGCCCCTTCTCGGGGCCTCTGCCTCGCAGTGGGGCCGTGTCTGGGGGTTCTGGAGGGGTGGGGGGTGGGGATCTCCGTTCCTGGGAGCCCCTTCTCCCCTGCGTGGCTGCGTACCCGCATCCGGGGAGAGGGGTGCGTGGCTGAGGGAGTGGGGGGAGACAGCGTCCTGGAGCAGCGAGCCCCAACAGCCTGGACAGGCGGAAACTTCACTCTTGAGCATCTCAAACACACGAGCTGTGAGGATGGGCAAGGTGACAAGGCCAAACACGAAGATTTCCAGAACTCTTAAGGTCATTGGGGCGGCCTCCACCACGCAGGGACGTAACTAGTGGGGTGGAGCCCTGTCCCTTACTTCTGGAGCCACGCCCCCACCGCTGGAGCCACGCCCCCACAGCGGAGGCCACGCCCACGAGTCGAGCCTCTCCCTACGGCTGGAGCCACGCTCCTTACTGCTGGAGCCACGCCCCTTACTGCTGGAGCCACGCCCCTTACTGCTGGAGCCACGCCCCTTACTGCTGGAGCCACGCCCCTTGCTGCTGGAGCCACTCCCCTTACTGCTGGAGTCACGCCCCTTACAGGCATAGCCTCTACCATACCGCTGGAACCACGCCCATTTCTTAAATAGCCACACCCCTTACCCTGGAGCCACGCCCCTTACAGCTAGAGCTACGCCCCTTACAGCTGGAACCACGCCCTACCACTGGAGTTACTTTTACAGCTTGAGCCACCAACTAGAAACTAAGAGAGGGCTGGGATGTAGCTCAGTGGCGAAGCGCTTGCCTAGCAAGTGCAATGTCCTGGGTTCGATCCCCAGTACCAAAAAAGAAAAGACAAAAAAAAAAATACAAACTAAGAGATGTAAGGGCTCTGTGTCCAGCATGCCCAGGATGCGCGCGCGCACACACACTCACACAGCCAGGGAACTGACCCACTTGTCCTCCGACTCGAAGCACGTTGGCAGTAGGCTGCTACCTGGAAGTCAGCTCTGAGAGCCACCATGCACCACCCCAATGTCCAGCCCGCCCAGGCCTTGGTTTAGAACTACAGCCTAGGGTCAGCTGGGGTCAGCTCCGGGCCTGGAGGAGCAGTGACCCGGAAGCCAATGGATGAGCAGAGCAGTGTCCCAGAAGGAGACCACAGTCTGAGTCTCTTGATCGAACTGTATCTGAAGTTCCTAGGCATTAAGATAGCTTCGGGAATCTCTGGATCCCGCCAAAGAGGTCTGCTTCTGCCTCTGTCTTTGTTTTTCTATCTGTGAGTCAGATCCTCACCATGTAGGCCAGGCTGGTCTCCAACTTGCCAGTCTCCTACCTCAGCCTTGCAAATCACTCTGTACTGTGGCAGCTAAGAACATAGGGCCATGTTCTCCCCACCCCACCCCCGACCCCCAGACTGAGCACCATCAAGGGCAGTACTGGGTCTGCCCCCAATTGTGGCTGAGAAAGCAGAGTTCAGAAAGAGCAGTGCTTTTGTCCAGGAAGAAAATAGGAAACAGAGTCAGGATTTCAATTCAGGTCTCACACAGACATCTCCCTTCACCTCTGGGCCAGGTCTACCATCTTCTCTATCTTTCCACAGGATGCCCTTGAGACCACTTCCCATGAGCCGGACAGCTGGGCCGGACAATCCCGGAGGGCTTCCTGGGGGGAGGAGACCCCCCCCCCCCCCCCCCCCGCCGCACCCTGTGAAGTTCCCTTTGGTTTGTACCAGGCGCAGGTGAGAAATCCACTTTTACCTCTGTCCTGGCCCACTCCAACCTCATACTGCCGCCTCCCAGAGCCTCCGGTGCACAGTTCCCACCCCTGGCCGGGCCCAGGGACAGAGGTGTCACAGGCTCCCATCAGCAGATGGGGAACACCGCGTCCTGAGTGGGGTGAAGAGAGGAGTTGCTAGGGCAGGTCCAGCCCCAGCTGCCCCTTGGGTGCATTCTTCCAGTAGCCACCAGGGGGCGTGTGAGGACGCGGCATCCAGCCCCTTCGCTTCTGCACGGAGCCCCCAGCGGCTCGCATCTCCCTCAGGGTATGGTGGTGAGGGGAGGAGACCCTTCCTCTTTTCTGGGCCTCAGTTTCCCCATCTATCAAACAGACAGGTTCTTCCACCTTTTTCCAGTGAAAACAGCAACAGCAGCCTGGCGCCAGTGGCTCATGCCTGTCATTCCAGCTTACTACGCAGGAGGCTGAGATCTGAGGATCGTGGTTCGAGGCCAGCCCAGGCAGGAAAGTCTATGAGACCCTTACCTCCAGTTAACCACCAGAAAAACTGTAGGTCAAGGGGTAGAGCATAATGTTATGCTCAAAGACAAGACCCAGGAATGGCACATTACACACAGCACACCCAAAACCTTGGTATGAAAATTGTGCCTGTCATACCACGCTCAGGCTTTCTGCCTTTTAGTTGCTCCTTCCCTGATATAATGGTAGGGGCTCCTTATTGACTCCTCCAACTGGCCAGGTGCAGCCTGCCCCAGGGCCTTTGCACAGTCTGTTCCTGATACCTGAAGCCAGAAAGCAAATAGAAAAGCAAATGTCCCTATGTTACTGGTCCCCAAACATTCTCCTCCTCCTCCTCTCCCTCCCCCTCCTCCTCCTCCTCCTCTTCCTCTTCTTCCTCCTCCTCCTCCTCCTCCTTCTTTTTGGTCAGGGATGGGTGAGGACAGAACTATGGGCAGAGGCAGGCTGGGCCAAGGCTGTGTCCTGAGCAGAAGGGAAGAGATGGGGACCCACAGACAGGACCAGGCAGGAGGTGAGCACTCATCCAGGGTCCTGGATCGTGCTGTGCCTGCAGCCCATCTCCACGTTATCTCTATCCTCTGAGCTCCCCAGCCCTCCACTGCCCGACATAGAATAGAACAGTATTTTTATACCTTCTTGTTTTTCCTGTACAGAGTTCCGTGTGCACAGAGCTAAATTTAAGAGGGAGGATCGTGGAAAAATGGAAGGGAGGAAAAAAAGCCACATTCCAGGTGTCCCCTTCCTTGGAGATGCGACAGAAGGAAGGAAGAGGTGGGCGCGGAGGGCTACATCGCACCTGGGGCCCAGCTGCTGCACCCCACTCCCTGGGGGTTCTGGTGGCTCCAATCACAGCTCCAGCTCCGGTCACTGGGGCCGGGTGACACTCACCTGCTCAGGGGCTTGTGGCTCCTCCCGCCTGGAACCCATTTTCCACACATCTTTTTTTTTTTTTTTTGGTTGGTCGTGGGTCTTGAACTCTGGGCCTGGGCGCTGTCCCTCAGCTCTTCAGCTCAAGGCGAGCGCTCTACCACTTGAGCCACAGCGCCACTTCCAGTTTTCTAAGTGGTTTATTGGAGATAAGAGTCTCATGGACTTTCCTGTGTGGGCTGGCTTTGAACCGTGATCCTCAGATCTCAGCCTCCTGAGTAGCTAGGATGACAGGCGTGAGCCACCGGTGCCAGGATCCCCAGGAGAATCTCAGGAGACATTATTTTGCCCCCCCACAGTTGGTTTTGTGCCATCCACAAATGGCTCCCGGGTCTCAGAATCTCCCCCGTGGCCCTCCTCCTCCCCCACCCCCAGATCTCCTCCTCCAGGAAGCCCACCCGGCTGCACCCCCAGGGAGGCGGGGGGGCCCATCCCATCTGGGGACCTGCGTGACACCCCCAGACTCGACTCAGGGGACACGCTTCACACAGCTGGTGCTCCACACTTGCGCGTGACTTGTGTGAGTTCAAAACCGACATCCATAGAGCCTGGTGCGATAGAGGCCGGGGAGATAGAGGCGGGCGATGGGGGGGTAGAGCCCGGGGTAATAGAGGCCCGGTGGG